CCCTGCACATAGACCCAGCTGGGTTTTTGTTTTTGAGGTAGTCTCCTATAATCTAGTCTGGCCTCTAATGATCCTCCTGCCTCTGCCTTCCAGGTGCTGGGATTTTTATTTATTTATTTGGTTTTTCGAGACAGGGTTTCTCTGTGGTTTTGGAGCCTGTCCTAGAACTAGCTCTTGTTTTCTCTGTGGTTTTGGAGCCTGTCCTAGAACTAGCTCTTGTAGACCAGGCTGGTCTCGAACTCACAGAGATCCACCTGCCTCTGCCTCCTGAGTGCTGGGATTACCACCTCCTGGTTTGACAGGGATTTCTTTGTTTTGAAGGCTAGCCTTGAACTTGATCTGTCTCAACCTCTACTGAAATGCTGGATTGCAGTACCCCTCAGCTTCTTGTTAATTTTTATTCTTTTAGTTGTGATTATTATTATTATAAGTTTGAGACAGTTTCTCCCTGTAACAGTTTATGGCTAGCTATCCTGGAATTTGCTTTATAATTCAGGCTGGCCTTGAACTCACAGAGATCCACCTGCCTTTGCCTTCCAAATGGATTAAAGGTATGCCTGGCTATCTTACCCAATATTTGATTTTAATCTTGTATGTTAATATTTTGTTGGTATAATCACTCTGCTCCCCCATTGGATATTTCTTTGTGGTAGTGGGCAATAAACTTGGGGTCTTGTGTTAGGCCAGCACTGTGGCTTTGTTGTGGCTCAGTCCTCTTTTTTTTTTTTTTTTTTTTTTTTTTTTGTGAGTTGCTTGTTTTCCCTGGATGGTCTTGAACTCTGGAGCCTAGGCAGACTTTGAACTTGTGGTTTTCCAAGTAGCTGGGCTTAAAAACATATTCCCTGAAATCTAGCTGCTTCTTTTTTTACTTAATTTAGGTTTTTTTTTTCTCTGCATTAGTTAACAGGGTATTTTGCCTGGTTAATGCTTAAAATTAGCCATTCACCAGGGAGAATTTTGGAGGGATTGTGGCAGGTAGGGAGGAAGTCTAAAGAATTTAGACAGGTCTCTTCTGTAACAAAGTTACTCTGCTCCTGGGAAGACATTGTTTCAGTTCTCAGAGCCTGGTTTCAAACATTGAAATACTATGTATATAACCTTCAAACACATTGATAAGAACTTCTGTTTTAGGGTCACAGTGTTTGTTTTTCTTAGTGTTTTGATACATCTGTAAAATAGTCAAAATGACACCTTAGTTAATACTCTGCATTGCTTGTTAATGAATTCCTTCTGGATAGAGCTGGAGTTAATCCAGTACTTGAGAGGCAGAGATCTCTGGGAGTTCAAGTCCAGCCTGGTTGTCAGGACAACCAAAGCTACACAGTGAAACCCTGTCTCAAAACAAAAACCAAACAAAAAATACAAACAACCAAAACCCACCAACTTTACAAAGAGAATCGATTCTAATAAGTTGTCTTCTGACTTCCATGTATGTGGGTGCTTGTGTGTGTGCTCTTCTGGGATTGTTAGTCCTCTCCTTCCTATACAAGTAGTCTATTCCCATGCTGGGTTGTCCTTTAGTGATTCTCTGTCTTTGAACTCAGCCTCTGCTCATGTCAAGCATGCTCCTCTTCATCCTTGTGCATTCTGGATAGTGACTAATATGTTACTTGGAAAATGTTAAAGCTGTCACTTGAAGTAAGCTGTTGACATGCTATTTTGGTTTTGTTGGGAAGAGTAAGCAGAGCTGTTAACGCCCCCTGTGTCAGTAACTAGAGTGGACACTGGTTGTCTGTGCCAAAGTGGAGGACCCCTAAATGGCACTGTCCATTTCAGCAAAGATGTCATGAGATCAGGCAACCTGAGGTCAAGTGAGACTTTTAAAAGTAGCTGCTTGCAAGCCAAGTCAGTGCAGCCAATAGGAAATATCAAGGGCTCCATTGTGTGTGGTATGCTACTGCTTTTTCTTCTGTGCTCCGAGACTTCTCCAGGTCTATGCTATGTGAGCATAGATTTTTTTCATGCAGTATATTCTGATTCTGATTCTCTCCTACTCCCAGAGCCTCACCACATTCTCACCTACCCAAATCTATGCCCTTTCTTTCTCTTTCATTAGAATATAAACTGGTATCTAAAATAATAGTACAAATAAGAAAATAAAAACAAACCAGAATAGGACAAAACAAACTGGTAAAAAAAAGCTAATGAGAACAAGAAACATACAGATGCCAAAACATTGACACACACAGAAAACCCATTAAAAACCACAGAAAACCATAATAAATAATCAAAAGATATATAAGGTTAAAAAAATGGTCCAGATAAAGCATTGTGAGATCAAAAACCTCCAAAGATACCATTGAGTTCGTTTTGTTTGGTCATCTACTGCTGGGCATAGTGCCTGCCCTTAATATTTCTTTTTTTTTTTTTTTTTAAATTTTTCCTTTGCAAGTAGTTAAAAATTAGAGGTAACTTCTGAGTTAGGGGTGAATATTTGTATCCTCTTCCCTGAAGGCAGACACCCACCTGGCCCTCTGCATGCTGCCTGTCTGTGTGGTTCATTTGTGGGTCAGCTTTGTTGTGTCTGGAAGGTCTTGTTTCCCTGGTGTCTCCTGTCTCCACTGGCTCTTAATCTGTTTGCCTCCTCTTCTGCAGGGTTCCCTGAGGGGAGGGATTTGATGGAGATGTGCTGTTTAGGACTGAGTGTTACAAAGTCTCACTCTCTGCACGTTGTCTGGCTGTGGGTCTGTATTCGCTTTCATCTGCTGCAAGAGGAAGCTTCTCTGGTGTGGGCTGAGCAAGGCACTGATCTGTGAGCATAGGTTGTCATTAGGAGCCATTTTATTGCTATGTTAACTGTAATATTTGGTTTTCCTATGGCCCATGTCTTATCTAGTCTCAGGTTTTTGGCCCCTGAGCTGTCTCAAGCATCTTACCATGGAGCGGGCCTTAATTCCAGTGATTGAGTTTATTGAAGGACTGAATGCTTATGAAGTTGGGAGGCTGGAGAAATGGCTGAGTGGTTCAGAGTGTTTGCTATTCTTGCAGAAGGCTTGGGTTTGATTCCCAACTCCCATGTCAGGCCATTCACAGGCACCCTGAACTCTATCTAGCACCAGGGGATTTGGGGCCTCCTAAGGCTTCTGCACATGTGACATTTACACACCACGCGTGCTGGCACACACAGTAATAAAAAACAAATTATAATACATTATTGTAATGTTCAGCTTTGTTAAGTGAAGATGGCTTATTTAACCTTTCACTTTTCCTGGGCTAAATTTCTTTGGTTTCTGATTTCCCTAAATCATAATAGAAGGGTAGGATTCATATCTCCCTCAGAGGTGGCCCTTCTGGGGAAAAGGATAAGAAGCAGGAGTGACCTCCAAGCAGCCAACTGAGTGAGCACTGTCTTAGGACGGGGTGTCTGCTTTTCCTTTATAACTAGTCATCGGGGCTGACCTGCTTCCTGGTGCTGATCTCCGTAGCTTTATCTCTAGCCTGCTAGTTACATTGGGGATGGGGGAGGTGTGTGCAGAGTATCCATATTTGTAGCTATTTCTAAAAGCTAGTGGAGAGGACACAGTGTAACCAGAAGCTGTGGCTGAGTGAGGCACAAGTTGGTGCCTCCAGCTTGTGTTTTCATAGAACTTTCTGGTTTTCACAGGTTTGTGCTCAGTCTCCATTTGTCACCATGTAGCAGTAACTGGCAGATGTGTGTCTAGAAAGAATCCGAATTTTGTTTTTTAAATTGTTTTGTGTTGGACAGAAATTGGGTGTTAGCCTGTTGAGGTCCAATATTTGAGACCAAGGCTGGAGGGAAATGAGTTCTGGGCTAGACTGGGCTCCATAGAATTAATCTGCTTCAGAGAGTTGAGCTGACATGCTTGAGAGAGAGAAGTGTTCTCAGGGGTTGCTGTGTTATCCCTGCTTCGTGTTTGAGCTGGGAAAGATGAATTGGACAGTAATTCAAAGTGTATAGACTGCTTCAAACTCAGCAATCCTCCTGCCTCAGCCTCTTGTCCTGAGATAACAGGTATGATCCACCTTGACCTGTGATAGCTGAAAGTCCCTGATGTTCAGTTATTTTGGGTTTTGTTTTACCTATTTTAAGGGAAGAGTTTATTTGCCTTACTCTCTTCTAGGTCACACTCTGATGAGGTAAGTCAGGGCGGGAACTCAGTGGGAGCTAAATGTTTGCTTACAGAATGGTTTGGGGTGGGTTTTAGTGCATTCCTTTATGTTATACATGGGTTACCAGTGCCACTTGAAGGAGAGATGCAGGGTGCTCTAGACCATTGATCCATGTCTCAGTAGCTTTATGTGTAGCTCTGAATTCACAGTTTGGAAATTGAATTTTGGTTGTTTGCTTGTTTGTTCAGAGTGATTAGATGCTATTTTCTTTCTTTTTAATTCTTATATATTACATCCCGGCCACAGTTTTACCTCCCCCCTGCTCTTCCCCAGGTCTACCCCTCCTCCTTTCCCTTCAGAAAAGGACAGGCCTCCCGGGGATATCAACCAAACCTGGCATATGAAGTTATAATAAGATTAAGCCTCATTAAGGCTGTGCGAGGCAGCCCACTAGGAGAAAAAGGATCCCAAAAGGAGGCAAAAGAATCAGCTAGCCCCTGTTCCACTGTTAAGAGTTCCATAAGAGCACCAAGCTACACAACCGTAAAGCATATTCAGAGGACCTAGGTCAAACCCATATAAGCTTCCCGACTGTACATTTGACACCTGATCTCACAGCTGCAGTTGGAAAACTGAATCACCCTTATTTAGTGAAATAAAGTAAGTGGGTCAGATATTCAAGAACAGTGCAATAAACTGGCCATGCTGTAGCTTGGCTCTTGGGAGGCCAAGGCAGGGGGATTGTGAGCTCCAGGCATGGCATGAGCACCCATAATCTGAACAATTGTGGTGCGAATTAGGGGGATCACCCAAGCCAAGGAGTTAGAAGGTAACCTGCACCAACACCAAGACCTAGGTCAGAAAGGGCAGGCATGAGCCAGATGAGGGACAGAGCCAGTTCATGCTTCCCCACCCTTCCTAAACCTTGATGTCCCATTTGACTACCACATTCTCTTGATAATAGATTTTAGTGGCTATGCTTATGGGATAGATTAAAGTTGCCATGATCTGAAGAGAGAGGGCTTTCCAGTGTTCTCCCTCTATATGAAATGGCTGAACAGGAAACCATTGCTTACAACAGTGGACACTGTTGCATGTGGGAAAACCCAAGTTTGAGTAGTGAACCTGAAAGAATTTTTCCCTCCCATATTTTATTTTTTTGGTTTTTTTGAGACAGGGTCTCTCACCCTATAACAAGTTTGGCTGTTCTAAAACTCACTTTGTAGACTAGGCTGGCTTTGAACTAAAATCTGCTTGCCTCTGCCTCAAATGCTAGAGTTAAAGCCACCACTGTCCAGTTTCTCTGTGTAGAACTCATTGTCATGTAACTCACTATGTAGTTGGATGAGGAGCCTGTCCTGGAACTCAGCTCTGTAGACCATGAACTCTGTGTCCTTGAACAGGATTTCCCCTGCTGTCCTACTGGGTGCTGAAATTGAAGGCGTGCACCACTACTTCCCACTCTCTATAATCAGTGGAAACCCAAGTGTTAACAGAGGTGTACTTGGGAGAGAAATTGTATGATAAAGATGCCCATATTGTGGAATAGATGGTGATTTCTTCTGTAATGACAGTAGATGCTGTGCTGCTGTTGAATACACATCCTAAAACTGCAGTGGGCTGGAGATGGCTCTGGTTAAGGGAGAGCACCATCTGTTTTCCATAGGGCTTCCATGAAAGCTCATGACCATCTACAACCCCAGTTCTAGGGATCCAGTGTTCTCTTCAAGGGCACCAGGTGTACATGTGATGCAGAGACATGCAGGCGAAACACGGATACCATATACTTAAAGCAACAAAAAAGTGGAAATAAAATCGATCTTTTATACTATAATTAGATTTGTATATGTTCTGCTTTGCTTTCATGTTTGGATATTAATACAGAAATGTAGACTAGGCTTGTCTCAAACCTGCTTGTCTCTGCCTTCTGAGAGATAGAATTGAAGCCATGCCCCACCACACCAGGTGTTTTGTTTTTTTTTTAAATATGTAAGAGTGTTTGTATGTATTTATGTGTCCAGTGCCTATAGAGGCCAGAAGAAGATGTTGGATTACTGAACTGGAGTTACAGATGTAAGCTGCCATCTGGGTGGTAGAAACTGAATTCCCACATCTTCTGGAGAAGCAGTTAGTGCTGTTAACTGCTGAACCTTCTTTCCAGCCCTGGAATGTGTTTGTTTTCTTAGACAGTTCTCTGTGTAGCTCTGGCTTCCTAGAACTCTTTCTTATAGACCAGGCTATCCTTGAGCTGAGAGATCTGCCCATCTCTGCCTCCCAAGCTGTGATTAAAGTCCTGGGTCACCACCGCCCAGCCTGTAGTAATTTTGCGGTTGTTGTTAGTATACTAACTGTGTGATCCGGCTAGGCTAGGGAGTATGGAGAGTGGTATGGCCATTATCTCTGTAATGCCTGGGTTGCTGTCCTTAATAGGACAGGAGAGTGAACTCAGTTGTGGAAGTACTTTAGGCCAGCCTGGTCTGCAGAGCAAGTTCCAGGACAACCAAAGCTATATATAGAAACTCTGTCTTGAACTACTCCCCACCCCCAAAAGGGAGTGGAAGTCCTTTAAGTGAGTTTAGGAACGTAAACTGGTACATGCAGGGAATGTGTACTGTTGGGGTTTTATCTCTAGTTTAAGAACTGAATTTGGAATAATGAGTTTTTACACTTTTTTCCTCATGTATTCATCTGACTACAATATATTGGATGCAAAATTTATGGATTTAGTTTGTTCTTGTGATGTTTATTCCTTTTTAAGCTTTAAGATTAGTGGGTGTGATTATAATTTTTACTGGTTGCATTTGGGAGTCAGGCAAATCTGAGTTGGTGACCATCCTGGTCTACACACTGAATTCTCGGTTAGCTAGTGTGTCAGACTGAGGAACGCTGAAGCCATGCTGTATAGTTGGCCCAGCACAGTGCGTCAGTTCTTTTCAAGCCTTAGGATGGGTTGACTGATTTGTATTGTTTTACAGGTTGAATCGACCAAAGCGATGGTTATGGAGAAGCCTAGTCCCCTGCTGGTCGGGCGGGAGTTTGTGCGACAGTACTACACCCTGCTGAACCAAGCTCCGGACATGTTGCACAGGTGTGCTCTCACAGGCCTAGGAGGGTGGTGTGGGATGGTTCTTCACATAAGCACCTTAGAAAGAGATCTTACAGTAGTTTGTAGCCCTGGACTGGCCTAGCCTGGAACTCAGAGATCTGTGTTTCTGGGCCTCCTGAGTGCTGGAATTAAAAGTGTCCACCTTGCCAGACTCACACAGATTTACTTTCTAAAGCTGTGTGGTTTTAATCTGCTATTTTCAGTGTTGACGTATATAAAACTATGTGAACTTAGATTTTTTTCTTTTTCATACAAGTACTAAGATGAGTGGGCTAGAGCACTATAGTTTTTACTTCAGTCAAGTAGGATTTTTTTAAGCTTTATCTTCATTTTATATACATTGGTGTTTTGCCATAGGTGTCAGGTTCCCTGCAACTGGAGTTACAGACAGTTGTGAGCTGCCATGTGGGTGCTAAGAGTTGAACCAGGGTCCTATGGAAGAGCAGTCAGTGCTCTTAACCACTGAGCCATCTCTCCAGCCCCATGTAGTTTTTCAAGATAGGTTTGCTGTTATTTTGGAGCCTGTCCTAGAACTAGCTTTTGTAGACCAGGCTGGCTTCGAACTTAGATATTGGCCTGCCTGCACCTTCTGAGTGCTGGGATTAAAGGTGTACACCACCACTGCCCGGCAAGCTTTATCATTTCTAAGACAGTGTCTGCTTCTCTTGACAACCTTTGGGTAAAGCATTTGAGAAACTGGTCTCATCTTGGAGCTGTTGGTTTTCAGAGCATTTAAAATTCTCTGGCTTTGAGCCACAGAAAAGGTCTCTACATATTTTTTTTTTAATCTTTTTTCTTAGTTTTTTGCCAAGTTTTATGTCAGTCTTCAGCCATGTAAGGTAGTTAAATTTGTGGTATTAGAATCCACATCAGGACAACCCAAGCTGGAGCTGGAGACACTATGTGCACACTGGCTATTGCTATTATGGCCAACGATATCCATTTCCTGCATTTCCATTTCTGTTGAGTACAGTGGAAAGAGCAGAGGATGCTGAAGTGAGTCCCTTTAATAATGTAAAAAATAGCATGTCATCTGGTGCATTGGTGCACATACCTTTAATCTCCGCCCGCACTCAGGAGGCAGATGCAGGTGGATCTCTTGAGTTGAGTCCAGTGTGGTCTACAGAGTGAGTTCCAGCCAGATCTCCATAGGATACATAGGAGATACCCTGGCTCAAAAAAAGTAAAAAAAGCAGCAACATGATGTTGATGGAAAATAGACAACCATAGCATCGACTTACTTATTTTAGAGTTTTTGGGCTGACTGCAGATGTCTTCAGTGATGTTCTTTAGTTGGCATTTTTGCTGTGCGTCTCTCCGATGTCCTTCTAATGAAAACAGGGTATTTAAGTGTATGGGTGAGAGAGCGCTTAAGAGTTAAAAGTTCATACCTCCCACACACAGGACAACTGCCCACTGCCTTCCTTCTCAGGTGGGAAGGCACCGGCTTCTAGTCTTGACAGGGCAGATGTCCTCAGCAGAAGCAGGAATTTCATTTTGATTAGAAGTGCCTGGCTTTGCTGACTCCAAGGTCCTTTCCAACATGATTATCCTGGGCTGAAACAAGTTGGGACTTAAACCACACACATGCTCAATGATGACTGTTCCCATTTGGGGTGTCGCAATGGATTGTCATATACAAACGTAAACAGACCCTGCTGGGAGTCTGCCAGTGATGTGGATAGGTATCAAGCCTGAACACTAAGTACCTGCTCTTCGGGTCCTTGAAGATGAGAAGTAAATTGCCTTCTCTTGCACAGATTTTATGGGAAGAACTCTTCCTATGCCCACGGGGGCTTGGACTCCAATGGGAAGCCAGCGGATGCAGTCTATGGGCAGAAGGTGGGTGCTATGGACCAGTAGCAGCAGAGAAGAGAGAGCTTCTGCCTACCAGGGGCTGGGGCATGGGGGTGGGGAGGGGAGGCAGGGTGACTCCTGTTTAATTCCTTGGTTTGATGAAATGCCTATGTGTTATCATATTGAATTTCTGTGTTTGATAACTGGCTTCTGCATAGGACTGTCATTTCTTATCTTAAAAGATACTCATTCAGGACAACTATTTGATATTTAATTTTTTTAGATATATTTATTTATTGAGTGTACAGTATTCTTTATGCATATACACCTGCAGGCCAGAAGAGGCCTCATTACAGTTGGTTGTAAGCCACCTTGTGATTGCTGGGAATTGAACTCAGGACTTATCTGTTTTATGTGTGTGAGTGCTTTGCTGGCATTTAGATCTGTGCTATGTGCATGCCTAGTGCCTGAGTGACAAGAGTGCTTTGGGTCCCCATGAACTGGAGTTGCAAGGGCTGAGCATGTGTGTGCTGGGAACTGAGTACAGGTCCTCTCTAAGAGTAGTGAGAGCTCTTAACCATGCAGCCCTCTCTCCAGCTCTGAAATGCTTGCATTTATTGATCTTTGGGCGAGTGTGACTGCCATGGCATGCATGTGGAGGTGAAAGGACACCTTTTCAGGAGCTCTCTGCTCCCGCTATAGTTCCTCAAGATCACACCATAGCAAACACCCGTACCTGCTGCTCTATCTCACCAGAATGAGATTTATTTTATTTTAATTTTTAACTGGGTGTTGTGTAAAATTTAAGGTGTTAATTGTAGAAGTGTAGAAGTCTCTGGGTTATGTGCTGTCTCACTTCTGGAACAAAACACCAGACGGAAACAACTTAGGCAGGAAGGGCTATTGAGGTGTGGCCAGTCCATCATGGTGGGGAAGAGATGATGGCAGGAGCACCAGGAAGGGCTGGTGCTATTTCCTTTCTCTTATACAGTACAAAGCCCTAGCCCGGGGAATGGTGCTGTCCTCGGTTAGGATGGGTCTTAGAACAGTTGTTCTATCTAGTGTCTCCTGATGGGCATGAGGGGACTAGGTGGGTCTAGGCACTATCAAGTTGACCAAAGCCATGGAATAAAGTTTTGCCCTTCAGTGTGCTTGTTGTGTTGC